TGTGCACTTTGGTCCGCTCTCGTCGCTTTTTTGTCCTTTCTCATAATCGATATGCGTAAAAGTAATGAACTTATCCTTCTCGATTGCACTCTTCCCAACTAGCCGTTCCTGATGGACAGAGGCGCTAAGTTTACCTAGGGCTTTACCTTACTTTCTATAGGTATCATCCCGTTTCCATGTTTGCGATATTCCTGAAATGCACATCCAGAGTTTCTCTGGCATTCTGGGTATGCGCTCTTGGCCCATTGTAAAGGCTAGAGCCACCTCTGGCACCACTTTTACAAGAGAACCAACTCTGTTCACCATATAATGCACCTTAGGGCGCAGTTCGGCGACGGGGGGGGGGGCATTTTGCACTTTCGCAGCTTCACTAGTTCCGGTTTACAAGTCTCACTCTGGTGAAACCTGTGAACTCTTGCGTAGCTGGAGCAAGCTCGTCCAGCCACCATGATAAACCTGTCAACTCTCGTAAGGCTCTCTCGATGGCTCGACACGTCGATGGAAAGTGGCAAAAAAGCAAAATGCCCCTCCCCCTGTCGCCGAACTGCACCTCTGGGTTTTCCTCCGCATCCTGTTGTGACGTATTAACTTTAACAATAAATAAGTAAACAAATATCACCGGATACCCGTCCTCTTCCACCCAAGCTGCTCCCATGCACTAGGTGTTGATCGAACTCTTTTCCATATTCAGATGTTTCTTGCATTTATCAGCTGACACCCTGGCGAATTTGTGTCCTTTTGTAGAGGTAGTCAAAACCCTGGGAGCGTGACGACCTCACACCTATCGAGGTCCCGCTGTGAGCTCCACCTGGGCTTTGTCAGCGGATTACTGTGCATTGGAACGTAAATCGTGACCGCTATGGACTAGGGCTACAGCTGCGTAAATGATGAAGAGAAATCATTGGATTTCCCACAATAGACCTAATGGGTCTTCCAAATTGGAGTATAATATTTTTTTATGGATTTTAATGCTGAATGTTGCCTGGCACTAAACGCCATTGTGTTCTGTTTTTCTTCCCCCCCTCCACCTCGCAATTGATGAGAATTTCGAATTTTTTTTCCAGCCTGAAATGAGTCCCCAGGCCATGCTGTAACCGCGCTTCTTGTGCATACATTGAATTAGAAAAAGGCATGGGTAGTAAAATAGCTACAAAAGACGCTTGTGTTGTTTCAAGTCTAACCCCAGAAATACCCCAACACCCTTCTTATTTCATCAACGCTGGAAACTCAGTGTTTTTCTTCAGTCGTTTTTGCTGCATCATAACCTACTGCTGCTAGGAGATGCAGTGCACCCATCCATAGTGTCGTTCCGTCTGATTAATCGAGGCGTAGTCTTTTTCCATTTGTACCTGTAATTCGGCTGCAAATCGGCCACCTGCCGATAGGTCTAGCCCCTTTCAAGCGGAATGAGGGCACGTCCTACGTTGGGGAATCCCAGCGGATGGGGGGGGGGGTCGTATTTGTCTGAGAAAATTTTTATTTCGATAGTTGAATTCACGGATGCTAATCTCATCGTCGGGAAAATTTCAGTGAGGTGGAGGGGCGTAACTTGTTCTCAGAAGAATATGTGGGCGGTTGCGCTTTTGGTGGTATACCGCCACCTTCAGGCAGTTGTGATCATGTCTTTATCGAGCTTACGACAGAAAGACAATTGTCTTGAATGGAAAGCTCTCACGAAAAACGCATACAAGCCATGTTGAAATGAAATAAGCGGTCACGCCCTCCCCACCTACCGGATATGGAACGTACAATCGCTTGGCTGAACAGTCATTCACCTGCAGTTTTTGTTTTTACTATTGTCTTCGACAGGCAGGTGCATACCCAGCAGTCAACAGGCCGGTGATTGACCATCGGCTCTTTGCAGAAAGCTCGATGCTTCTGTGCTGCGCTGTTTGTATGAATTGAAGAATCGATTGCGAAAATTCAATGACGTAGACACATTTTTCATCGAGTCAATCGCTGCACAGGTGTGAATTTCTGGGTAAAACAAGGCAGGTGCTCCAGTAATTGGCGGTTATATCCAGTCTCATTAGCTCTCAGATTTCCCCCTGTTCGCTCGAAGTCACACTAAGGAGAGGATTCAAAGCCTGCTCAGTCTTCTTACAACATCGCAATACAGTTATTCAAATGATATCTTCGTAGGATTGCTGCTGAAGAATCGCTAATGGTAGCAGTATAGCAGCAGTGGAAAGGAGTTAATCCTTCCAGGTAACGCCATGGTACTAATTGGGCCAAATGCGCTATCTGGCGATTTTAAACCTGATGTTTATCCCCGCGATTTGGGCTTAGTTTGAGCAGCTGATTGTTGCCGGTCGGCGCGGGGGGCAGCTGTGATTTTGGTAAATTTATATGACAATGAAAATGCCTCAGAGTGCTCGGATTTGTCTGCATTGAGAACATTTACCCACCATTTGAACCATTTCGTCGTTGAAGGCTAGAATTCGTTTATTGGCGCTCGTTTATAAATCCTTCAAAAGCCATTAGTGGAACCGCCACGACTTCCTCAATAATCTTTCGCTTTTATGTCCTACTCAAACTCATTTTGCCCATTTATTTCTCCTTCGGTCGCTCAATCGTTTGTGCTATTCTGATGACAATGGTTGTTGTATCCACTTTTCTGTCGATAACTGAACCTTACCAGTGAATGCATCCATGGATCCGATGAGTTCTGCGTACGCCGTCCCGTCACCGTACGATCAGCAGGTGCCGTCGACGTCGTCGCCCACATGCTCCATTGCACGGCCGAACACTCCACAAACTCCCTACGGGTATGACTGCTCTATTCTCTTTTCATTCTGTCCTGGTTGGACCATATAACTTCTGATTAGAGGCTTAAGGCACGGTAATTCGGTAGTCGGTCTGAAATGGTAAAAGGGGTGCTATATAGTGCAAAAATGACGGAAAAGCGAAGTGAAACTGTAAAAACTGCGAGAAATCTTTCGTTACGCACGGCGGTGGACGAATGTACGGCTAGCAGAGAGCAAGTTTGGACGAGTTTCCCGTTGGTGTCGTGCCAACAACTGCTCCGGTAGGTGCGCCTACCGGTCTTTAGTTGTGCAGCACCGCAGCTGCTAAGCTGTTCTGAAGACGTCGTAGACAGAGGAACGGGCGGTTTTCTCCAGACTTTAAGAGGTTCGAGAGTGAAGGAGCACTGCTGCTTTTAAGGCAGGTGGCACGATTCATCTGTAAGACGTGTAGGAGTAATGCGCCCAGCAGAACAGAATTCGGTGTCCCGGAGCAAGAGCTGCGTGGCGCCTTTTCCATGGAAGGCACCCTTATAGCGGCCTATCAAGCTGCAACATACCGATCCGGACCGCGCCCGCCCGCCCACAAATGTCCGACCGATCCTGGTGCTCCTATGCTTCATTTGCGAGCTACAATACGAGGCGAAGGGACTGATACGAAGCGGCTGCGATGCTGCATGGATATATGAAGACATACGTTAGGCCATACCTACCGTAGCGGTTACTGGCACGATGCCAACAAGAAACACGTCCGAAATCTTTCTAGTCGTGTAGAAGAGAGGCTTTTTGGCAGGTTTTTGACCGTTTCCTTCGCTTTTTCGCGACTTTTCCACTATTTGGCATCCCTGCTACCGTATTAGACTGAGTGCCAAATTATCGTGCCAGCTGCCTTTGAATAGGAAATCTCAAGGATAAGGAAATAACTACAAGGGAATGGGGAAGATGATGGTGCGGCGGGCTGTGGAGAGCGGGCTGTATAGAGGCACGCACACAGATAGGGGCAGTTCGGCGAACGGCAGGGGGAGGGGCATTTCGAACTTTTGCTACTTCACATCGACCATCAGCGTCGAGCCTCTAGAGAGCTATTTCATGAGCTTACAAAGTTGACAGGTTCTACCATGGTGGCTGGACGAGCTTGCTCCAGCTTCACAAGAGTTCACAGGTTCTATCAGGGTGAGACTTGCAAACTGAAGTAGTGGCATTGGTGCGAAATGCCCCTCCCGTCGCCGAACTGCGCCCACAGAGACACATTAACTGTTCAAATTTCACCGACGCCGTACAAAGGCTTTCTTCAGCGGCCTTTAGTTAGACGGGTCATAAGTATACTAAATGAAATGATGGAAGGGATCGAATGGGGAGTGGGTGCTGTAGGGATCTCGAGCTCTCATCCCTGCCATGAGGATCTTCTTATCTTATTTTCTTTCTTTTTCATCCTTTTTTTACTTCCTATCAGAACAACCCCATCGCATTTCGTCCCCTGAATCAGGAACCACTCTCTCGATGTATCTGTCAGCATTCTGTCAGTTATGCTTCAGGCGTTCAGCGTTCGGCTCCGCACATGCGTCACCGTTCCGGCCAGCGAATGCGGCCGATGCGGTCCGTTTGCGAGAGACCTGTGCAGCACGGAACGTGCAAACTGCTCAATGGATGGACAGTCAATACCTGGCTGGAGTCTCAGGTTTTCATGGAAGTGGGGTAAGTGTTCTAACTCGTTGAGGGCGAGTTCCAAAACGTTGCTTATGGAACTTATCTTCTAGTACGAATCCGTTACAGGTACAATCAGGACCATGCTCGGTGATGTCAGCGGCCAGTGGTGGCGGAATGTCGATGATGTCCGGCATGTCACAGATGTCACTCGGCAACATGAGTCAGCTTAGCATTTGTACTCAGCTCACTGAGGCGCATTACACACAGGTGAGAACGGTCATCAAAGCAGCAGCTTTTCGTAGCGAGCCGCTGTAAATTCGTGTTCCTATCGGGTAGTGGGTAGGGACGGAGATGGGGTGGAATCTCGTGTGAGGAGGGCATCAATCGATCATGGCTACCTTGAAGACAAACCCAGCGATTCTATATTGTGGATAGTGACGTTCAGCTGCAAATCTATAGTCGCTGAATAAATCCCCAAGGAAGAAAAACCAAGAAAAACCGTGTAGAACACCCATATACAGGACTGCGCTCCCTGGATGATGTTGTCCGGACCTGCTCGTTTTAGGCATAGCAAAGGTACCATGTACCTTCTAGCTCCTGATCACTCCTTTGGCGTCTTCCGATCTCAGTCCTTTGCGTCATCCAATGATGATAGCATCAAACATTGAAAAAAATACCGTAAAAAGTAAACTCGTGTCAGAAAATAGCCTTTGAGTCTTGGTGGGCGGAGCAACTATGGGGGAGTCAGAACTGCCAGTTGTGAGGGCCACGGCGCCTTCGTTACTGTAAAGTCAGCTGTACTGTAAAGCGGGACAACCTTAGAGACTGAGGAGCAAACTACTTGTACAGGAAAAGACACCAATGAATTGCTTGAGCGCGGGACTGTCCTTAACAGTTGAATGTTTGGTTGATCCGGAGAACTCTGATCTTGTAGGGATGGGTGCAGCGTCTCCTGTCATTTTTCTTCTGGTTTGAAAATGACTGGGAGCAACAAAAAAGTAAGAAAAACTACTTCAGAATGCCCCTTATCAGCCGACATCCGGTGCGTCAAGTGTGGAGAACATCGATCCGAGCAATATATATGAGATTAATCGCCAAGTAAATACTCTCATAATGAGTCTCAGGCATGAGGATCCGGTGAGTACTGCCTTTACTACTCAGTTGGTAACTGTTATATAAATAGTGTATACGTGTAAGGAGAGTTTGTTCAAGGAAATTCGACGGAAAGCCGCTAATTCTGTGCAAAGCATGGCTCGGCAACGATTGCTAGCGATGGTCTCCAACCATGCGACCCTCAGAGAGCTGATTTGTCACTTTCTGCAGTTCGTACTTGAGCACACTATAGAGCAGGTGAGGGCAGGACAGCACAGGTTAAATTTGCCGAAATTCTGAAACTTAAGCTCCTCAACGAGCAAAAGAACAGGGAGGCATTGGCGGCAATCACGAAAAAAATATTCGAATATCACACGAAGTACAAGGGCTCTTGTCCCCCTTTCAATTTTTTTCAGCCTCAGTAGAGTGCAAAATTGAAATTTTCAGAACATTACCCAATTGATGCAGTCGATTTTCAACATCCTCAATTGCCGGACGTGTTTTGTCGTCATGCAGGACCGATACATTCAACAAATACTAGTACATATCATCGCCAAATATTTGATGTGAGTATACGGACCATTAATTTTATATAGTAATCTCCCACTCATTTACTGTTTGCAGGCCTGATCATCCTTTTACCGCATGGACTGTGATCGCTTTTACGGCAATTTTACGAAAGAAAGATCTACGGGGTTTCCGACGGATGTGTCGGTAAGTTCATTGACTTGGTTTCCTTCTAGAGGAGCTCCTTCTGAAAAAAGAAAGAAGAAGTAACACAGCAACCAGGAGAGCACATCGTCTTGTTTCTCCCTGATTCTGCATGGAAGGCATGTTCCGCGTCAACCGTATGGGCGGAGGCAGAGAATCATCCGTGCTTTCGCCATTTTTGCGCTCTTCCTTCAAAAACAGTGTGAACGAGGGATGCGCCTTTGGGCTGGTTCTCTGCCTGGAGGCATACGATCAGTGCGGAATGAACCTTCGAGCGAGTACAGTCCAAGTGACTAACTCTTCGTGGGGATATGAGGGGATGTGTGGAGGGTTTCATAGACTCCACAATTCCTAGCGCTTGTCAAATATATGGCTCATCCGGCAGGGAGAACCTAAAGACACTTTGCAGGAACGAGTACTTTGTCCGTCAGCTGATGATCATTCTTGCCTCGACATCTTCGTCCCACAAATCCCTCATCATCGACTCTATTCGAATGCTTATCACGCGGAATTTGCCACTTAAGGTAGTTTTTCAATTACTCGCTTAACTTCCTATGAACTCCCCCCCCCCTGTTTCGCCCAAGATCCAAAATCTTTTCCAGGAGTTCTTTGTTCGAAGTAAAGGAATGGAGAAGCTGTTGGAGTTTATGTCGTGTGAGCATGAGGAGAAAGTGCTGAGATCGAGCGCCACCACTCTTCTCACTCTTATCTCCACGGAGTCAGCCAAATATGGAATTGAGTTTGTTAGGCTTGAGGGGGTTCAGGTATGTTCCGCCGAATTTCACCTGAACGGCAGTGAACTCAAAAAGGGTTCTGTTGCCTCTTGCGAATGAATGTCCATTCCCGGAATTTCTACAACAAGTTTATTTTAGATCTTCGGTAATCTCCTCTCGCATGGTTCAACTATGTTGCTACATGAGCTTCTTCATTGTCTGGCTGCCGTGGGAGATCTCAAAGAGGCTCTCGAAACTCAGGTGGCGTAATTTAAGAGTGGGTTTTGAAGATTGGGACTAGTGAACCACTCAGAGCAGTACGATTGGCATTAACTTATTGAGTGGAGGCACTTTTAGGGCCAGAAAATGGCTCTGCTTCAAGAATCATGGGATTCCATTAGAGTGAAACAGTTATCTTTCTCTGTTGGATGGATCTTGAAATAAAAAAATTGAACGGCAGATAAAAACAAAAAATAGTCGTAACAAGAAAAAATGAATGAAAGCTACTTTTCATCACTTGCCAAAACAATTTCCTTTTCGAAAAATTATTAAAATCTTTGGGGATTTTTCGAAGATGAGATAAATGATTCTTTTATAGCCCTGTCCGCACAACGCTCATCCCCCCCCCCAACAGTGCCTTGACCAGTAAAACCATTTGCTGCGGATGCTGGGGCGTTTTAGGGGGCTGGGTATGGCGCGACGCCAGCCAGTTTTCCACCAATTGTGGAATCTGAAAGACGACCACAGTCGTTGGAAAATCCGCAACCCACAATCCACAGAAACGCCCAGTGAACAGTATTATGAAGTTGTAGGATGTACGCGAACGCGAAATGTGATTGTAAAAGTTCTTTCAATTCTCGACTGTCAAGTCTCCCAGGTTCACTAAACATTGAACTTGCAGGACATCAGTAGTACTATCGTATCAGTACTGCAATTGATGGGTGCCCACGATCCGATTCTGGTCAACCACGGCACGGCGTTCCTTCTGAATGTCTCGGCAAATAGCATAAGGAATAAGGTACGTTATCCCTCGCCGGCGCTGTTCGGCAACGGGAGGGGGGGGCATTTTGCACTTTCGCAGCTTCACTAGTTCCGGTTTACAAGTCTCACTCTGGTGAAACCTGTGAACTCTTGTGTAGCTGGAGCAAGCTCGTCCAGCCACCATGATAAAACCTGTCAACTCTTGTAAGGCTCTCTCGATGGCTCGACACGTCGATGGGAAGTGGCAAAAGTGCAAAATGCCCCCCCTCCCCCCGTCGCCGAACTGCGCCTTCCTTGCCTATACAATGTATTGTTCCCTCATGATTCCATATTGCAGGCGTCCATGGTTGCCGCTCAGGCTCCCGATACTCTGCTCAGTGTGCTCAATCATCGTAACAACTACTTGACGATCCCACTTGGCAAATGTTCGACAACTGATCGCCTCCATCACTGATAACGTCCTCATTTGCCTCGCAAATTTAACCAGAAATCAGGACGAATGCGGTCGCACCGCATGTATTCAGGTAAAAACTATAGGTCTACTTGATTTTTTGAAAATATTTCGAGTAGCAACAACAATGAGACTTCTGTATCAGGACATCCAGGTTTTTCTCAGTGCTTATCCCATTTTACTTCTAGTATGGGAATAAAAGCTCCTGCAGGACTTATAACCTCAAGCTGCATAAATGTGGTGAACATAATTGATTGTTAGTTTTATTAATAGAGTTATCAGCGATACCGAGGCAGTGGTGACGTTGTGGGCAAGGGTCCTTAACCGCGTGTGCGAGAGTCCCGCATCGGTTAGGTTGCGTTAATACTTTGCTGTGGCGTCCACGAGCGTCTACCAGCGTTCACTAGCTTTTTGAGCGTCCAGCAGCGTCAGCGACTGGGAGTCTGCCAGTCTGCCTATCGTGCCATGCTCTCTACCAGCAGTCCATGCTCTACCAGCGTTTGTTGTTCTCCTATCTCCCCATACTCTACCAGCTGTCTGCTAGGCAGAGAGGTGCTATCATGGAACTCATATGGATAATGCTTCAGATAGCCCGAAAACCGGATTCCGCGAAGACATTGCTCAACGTGTTGGCAAGTGGCAGTGTGGAGTGTCAGAATCGAGTGTTGATGGTTATCTACAGGTACGCGGCTCTCTTTGTCACATCTATTTTATGGTCAACTAGCTAGTAAATGCTGGTCTATGCGCACCGATACATTGCCCAGCATTTACTAGCTAGTTGACCGCATACTACAAGTTAGATCAATTGGCAATTGGAAAGAAATTGGATATAAGTATAGTTAGTAACTTTTAGCACATGTATTTGCGTTGCCGAGTACAAGTTGTTCTTCCTCGATACAGTCGACGATTACAATCAATCGAATCTTGTCACCTTCATTCTGCGGCTTTTATGGAACAATTTTGTACAGTTTGTGAGTTTTACACGTTTTGGATTACTTCTCAAAGGAGATTACGCCTTCTTGGGGAATGAGATGAAAAGGGATAGGTCAAGGTTGTCAAAATAGACTGGCGTTGTTCACTTAACACTAGCTATAGTGTAGTTCGCTGCGGACGGTTGGGCGTGTCTGTGCGGCTGCGCTTGGCGCGGTGCCAAACTCG